TTCATAGGTATATAATGAAAAGAATATGAGGCTAGAAAATAAAATAACGATAAAACATGTAACATATATAATAAAGAACAGAGTCAAGACTTCAGCAAGGAAAAAGTGGCATATACGTGTGGAACAGGGTAAAGAAAGACAACCTAACACAACAAAACGAAGGACGTATGAACAAAAGAATGAGTATTATGGGGGAATCAAGTCATGGCAAAATCAAAGCTCAAACAAATGTGTTGCGTCAAGTCATCATATGCTCTGGTCTTCCGGGGGGTCAACATGTTAAATCGCTGGAGATAGAAAACACCACAAGCACTAAAAGGGAAAAATATAAAATCTGAAAACGAGCAAAAGTAGAACACCCGCGTATACAGGTAAAAAAGAGAAAAGCCGATGATAAGTATATAAACAAATATAAAATATGTACCACGAGCGAAGTAGAAAAATTTGAGATGATAGCAAAACGAAATGAAAAATAATTAAAAGACAGATAACAAGGTGCCCGTTTGCGCCCCTCTTTCCATCTCCCGCCTATGTGTAAAAAATAATTTTGGACAGCGAATGTGAATATAGAAAGGAATATAAAAAATATGTAAAAATATTAACACGAAAGAAAAATAGAAAGAAAAACGAAAAACACATAAAGTATAAATGAAGTCTTGTGTGCATATGAAATTTGCTAGTAGGGAAAATGAGAAAATGTAATGCATGCTAGCTAGCGGATTTAGGAAAAGCAACTTAAAGCGAAGGGAAAAAATCAAACAAAAACATGCTGGATAGCTAGGAGATTTTTTGTGATGACAAGAGACAAATCAAGGGAGAAAGGAAAGTAGGACAAGACTGAGAGGGCAGTAGTCCGAAGCGGTAGTAGGAGATTCGTCACAGAAATGGTTAAAGAATCGTAAGGAGAATAGATGAGCAAAACATGAGCAAAAGTGACTGAGAATGTTACTGAGCTCCGTTGCGTCGTCGTCTGCCCCGCATACCGCCTTCCGGTCGTTGAGCAAGGACTTGTCTTAGTTCAGGGTCTTCACGGTCCTTATCTACATGGTGTACCCGGACATGTCTGTAATATCGAGTTACTATAATATTTTTCTTATCTTTGCTCATTTCGGTCTCAGAAGGTTAAAAATGGCAAGGAGGCGCGTTAAGCTTACCTCTGTAGATTATCCGGGCGCGGATAGGTGTGCTGTTGATCTGGGCAGAATGGGCATACATAACCCGGCGAGTCATGCACAAGGCCATGGCGCTTCATTTCGTTCTTGCGCTTGAAGCCCTTGCCACCTTCACCACGCGGACAGCCTTTAACCGGGCAGTAGTATGGTCTGTTTTGTGAGTGTACATTGGCGTGGGAGCTGGGGTTTAAATGTTAGCAAGATTTGCTTCTCACCTCCCGTCCCATTTTGCTTCTGGCTTTATGTTAGTTCCAGGAATATACGTACTTGAGAAGGTATTGCGTTTGAAACGGCTCAGCTTTGCAATCTGGATAATTGCACTTGAAGCCGGATGAATTAAGTGGTCCATTGGATGACGTATGTCCGCTTGGGTGAATTGGGGGAGAGTCGTAGGAACCGCTTTTCCCAAGCTCTACTGGTGTTGGGTAGCCAGTGCTCGGACTGCTGGTAAATTGTGAGCCGTGGTCTCCTGGAGAATGTGAGTAGGACATTCCCTTGTCCATTGTCTGTTGCCAATACGAGTGCTGGGGCTGACAAGCCACTGGTGATAGACTAGCAGACATGTCTCTTGAGCTTTCTGGGGAGAGAAACGACGATGATGGTGTTGTGAGAGGAGGGGGGATGTACTGTTCGGAAGGACGACGAGGCGGATGTTCTTGTATATTTCGTGGCTGCGAGGGGGCTGGCACTGCGCCAGGCGAATATAAATGCGGAACGCTATTTATTGGGCCAAGATGACCATTCAATGCATCTTCTATTGATGGGAGATTCTGACTGTTTTCAGGAGGTTTTGCGGAGGTAGGCTCAGGCCGAGACTGTAATGCGGGAAGTGTTTCCCCCGCAGCGTAGTCTGACGTGGATATCGTATATTTTCTTAGCGTAGGAGAAGTTGCCAATGATTCGTTTACGCGCAAACGTGGGTGCGATTCCGGTATCGATATCGGTAGCTTTTTGACGAAAGGGCATTTCGCAATATCTTTATCCATGGGAGACGCAACCATGGGACACTGTAGATGTTGGGGAGGCGCCTGGGGCTCCAGGAAATTTGGCGGCCGCGATGGTGCCCGCAGTTCCTCGCCAAACGTCCTTTCAATCTTGGCGCCTGATCTTTGGGGCTCTGCTGGTGTGTCATCTGCAATAATTAAATCCAAGGCATGTTGGGCCGTCTGTCGTGCGCTAGACGTAATAATATCCGGCATTGATATATCCTGGGCCCTTCCCCTCTCATCCACAGCGCGGTAGTCATCGGGGCTGCTGGATTCGGAAAGAGAATCCGTTGGTAAAGATTTCTGTCCAAGCTCGTAGGCAAGTTGCGGGGTTGCTAAGGAGCTGAGTATTAGTAGGTCGCTATGTGCTGGTTGGGTTTTCTTGCGACGCCGGCGAGGATCCTTATGATCACGTCCCCCGGGACTTGCCTTGCCCGGCGAGTCCGGCTCTTGTAAGAAAGGCGGGGGAGTCGCGCGGGGTCTGCAGTCGATTTTTGTGGGTTCGAGGCGAGGGGAAGCATTGCAGGCATCATCAGAATCGTAAACGTCGGGCATCATCATCGTGGAGGTGGCCTTCCTAGACACATTTGAAAAATTTACACGTTGTCTCTATATATCCTTGCTATATATCGGAGATGATAATTCTCGAAGTCCCTTTCCGTCGAAAGTTTTCGGACCGCGTCGACAAATTTAGGCACTTAGAGATGAGTATTATTGAGGTGATTCCTCAATCGGTTTCGAGCCTGGCTAACTGCTTTGTTTCGATAAATTAAGGAGCGACGACGGTATATAACCTGTTATTCAGAACTGTGTCTCAGGCAAACGTCAGCGGGAGTTGTGAATAGTATAAAAGAGCCATTACACCGTATAGGATGCAAACCAACGGCATGTTAGGGAAAATGCAACAGCGGATCACGGCGGCATATGTCGACGATATATGAGAAACAAGGGAGAACCCATCCAGAACAAATAAATATGGCCGGAAAGGCGTAGGTTGTGGTGGGATTTCGAAGAACGATTGGAGGAATGAATGGTATGATCCAAGGAGAGTTGATCCGAGAACTTTCAAGATGATGCGGACACAGCTGACGTAAAAAAAGGACAGAACAGGAAGATTCAAGAAGCTAAAGGCCAGAGCGTGAAAGGCACGGGAGATCGTACCTTTGTCGAAACGTGCTATTTCGGGGCGACGAAGATACGGAGACTGAGACAGAGGCGGAAAGTCAAGCGTCAAGAAGCAACGCATCAGCCAAGCGGTTCACAGACTCGCATGACGATGCGACGAGGCTTTTCTTCTCAGCCCGAATAGTGCGTTCTAGGAGCTTGTGCAGGATCTGTGGTGTGGCTGCGAAGGGGGTAGACAGTTCAGACGTGGAGGTAGATAAGATAGACGCCTATGTAGGGCTAGGAGGGTTGGCGAGGAAAAGAGAAGAGATGGGACGGGAGGTGGAGAGGATCGGGGCAGCCGGGAAGACAGGAAGACAGGAAGTCATGGAAGACAGGAAGGAGATTGAGTTCCCAAGGGACACGCACTGAAGGCGTGTAATGCGAAGGGAACTCGGGGCGCTGTTGTTGAGTGTGTGGGTGTTCGTATACCGTTCCTCTGCGGTCGAGGGCGCCGACAAGAACTTCGTTGTGGCTAGCGGGCGCACTCTAATGCAGAGCCTCACCTGTCGGCTGACAACACCCGCTCTATTTTAAGTTGAGAGTTATGATCAGGGATAGAGACTGATTCAAGAGGGCAGAAGAAAAAGAAAAGAAAAAGCTTCAATGTATAAAAGGGGGCTGTCATTCCCGTTATGCAGCGACTGACGTTCAGCAGTTCGTCAATATTTAGTTACTTCGTTCTCCAGGCCTTCTTCATCTAACTTCTCAGCTAGAAATGGGTAGGAATCGCTCTACCATACAGCCTACGGCGTACATGCCGAACCGAGTCGCTTTTGTTCAACAAAAGCTTCTTTGGCCCCCAAGTGCCGTGTCTACCTCTCTAGTGGTCAACCACAAGGGCCCAAGGAAATATGAACGAAAACATGTGGGCGCCAAATTGTCCGCGATGGTCATGGTGATAATGCCTTCGATCCATGTGTTTCTCGACCGCAAAGCATCGACAAAAGCGATAGAGGCTTAAGAAACCATCGGAACAGCTTTCCGCCTCCGGATCCACTCCCAGCTGCCCAGGTTATTCGGCAGCGTGGCCAGCTGCAAATGCAACTGCTGTGCCAGCCTGGCGGGGGGTTTCCTCGCTGTGGCTCCTTGCTGGCCCCGCCAACAATAATAACAAGGATCAGACAGAACAAGTCAACTCCGTCTCTCCCAACAATATCTCAAAGCGTTTCCCCATTGACCTCGTGTTCCCGGTCACCTTGTTCTCTGAAGTGATCATCTCAACCACCTCTTGGGAGGTACTGTAGAATCCAGCCTTCGCGAACATCTGCGCCACCCCCCGCTTTCCAATGTTGCTTCCCGTCATTATCCAGAAACTGATGGATTCGCCGCAAAAGTTTAAACACACAAGCCAAACCCCCTCTTTTTTTTTTTTTTTTTTAAAAAAAAAAAAAAATCTAGGCCCATCATCCAGATCCTTAATCCAACGGTTTCTGCCAGTCATCCCAGGTCAAGCTCCCACCTCATGATCATGAAGAGCGATTGACAATCGGTGACCTGACTTCGCGCAATAGAGCTGGCAAAGCCTGTAGGGCTATCTATGGGCCTACTATGGACCTAAGGCTCCATAATAATAATGAAACCATTATTGTACGCTAACCCTGCGGGAATTCCGCTACAGGGATCTGGATTTGAAGGATTCCTTCTGTGGCTTGAAGGTCTAGCGATTTGGCTCTGAACAAAAAGAAAAGAAAAGAAAAGTACAATCCTTCAGCAATCATGTCGGCTTTGTTGCGTATATAATTAAAAATATTCAAACAAAGCTGTATTTTCATCCAGGGTCTACAGATGCACTTATGAACCAGCTACCACTACATAGCTGGGAACAACATGGCTTTCCTTTTTCCAAAGCGTTCTGGAACAATAATTTGACATTGTATATAGATCTGTGTTTATTGTTTGATTTTTCTCTTCTCTTCAACCTGTCTCTCATGTTCGGTTCCCAAACACATCCGCTTTTCCAAAAAAAGCAATTTGAATTGGCCACAGGCAAAACTCAGCCAATGAAATTCTCACCACTCGATTGATGAGTTCCCAAGTGCATTTTATTTCGACAGGACAATGCCAAATTCAACAGCTTGATCCTTAGTTTAAAATGCGTTTTCGCTAACTACTTCTCTCCTCAGGATAGTTTGTTGTTGGCACAAACATGAACTAGCATTCGCCAAGCGATCAAAAATACTGTGCGATGAAGACAATTCAATTATATCAGACAAAGAGGGAAATTGATACGAGAGCCAAAAAGCAAATTGGCAAACACATCAAAGGGTGCATAATTGCGCGTTCGAATCCAAGCCAGCCCCAATTCGGATTTTTTGACTGTTTTGGTGCCGACGTTGTTGGGATACTATTAGGGATTTTGCGAGTCGCGAATTTCCAACGACGAAAATTGAAAAATTCATGCAGGTTTGAGGTTGAACTTGATTCTTGAAGCTCAAACGTTCCCAATTTTTCATAGAAAGCGCAACTTGCCAACTGAAAATATATTTTCTAGACGACCTGCCATCGTTTCGGCATCATGGGCGTTTGATTGGGCAGATGGATTCGAGGAAACATTGACATAATGGTGTCATTTCCGCGGTTGAATTCGAATGCCTGCCACCTCATCAGTCATGGTATTCACAGTAGATCTACAGCATCCTTTGTATGCTCACCAGTACAGCAACTCCAAGTACTGAAGGGACCTGATGATGCGACGGGCTTTGATGAACGGATCCCAGAGTGAGTCAGACTACATATGATCCTCACGAATCATGATTACGATCCCTCATGAATCCATGACCATGTGCGCAAGGGTGAGGGGAATCTACGGGACGTGGGAATACCAAAATACGGCCACGAGCCAATACCTGTCCCAGACCTGGGTTGGGAATGGACAACAAGGGAGCGCATTTCAGCCCTTTTTGGCCTTCTCCCATACAGCTGGAGCTCAAATTCGCCCTTGTCACTTCCCCATCCCATATAGTAAAGCAGTTGCTCTCCAATATATACTTATCTACAACATCTATTTCAAATCATTTATCCTCGTGGCATCCGTGATAACACTTCTTTCTGACGAGACACTGGACCGGAAAAATAGATACTAATATCATCCGATGATTCACGGCGTTGCTGGGAGTTGATCTATTTTTGCCAATTCGCGGAGTGAGGGGCAAAATCGTAACTCAGCTGTTCAGCTCTCTGGGTTCTGGGTTGGACGATGCGATACAAGTTAATTACCCTCTTATTATTGAAAACCCAAGGAGGGGAACAATGTGCAATTGGCTCGGAGCGAATGTTATCAAAAGGCACGACTACCCTTTCTTTTAGGGATTGGTAATTACACCCGGCCCAGGAGCCACTTTTTTTTGATAAGTTTAGTGCATGCACAGCTTTATCTTTTAAATTTCCCGAAGCATAGGATTGACCTTGGATCTTAAGGTAAGGTACGGTGGTTTTTGCTGATGAATGTTATTGAGAGGGAAGTGTGTGGCGGTAGAATGAAATTATTTGAAACTATCGGTGTAGTGGTTTCGAGTCATCATCACTAGGGCATATGAACTTGAAAAGAAAAGCAAAAGATTGTCTATCAAAGTTCACATTTGCTCTGCAAGGGACTTCTACAAAGGCAAAATGGCGAGGCTGACAATTGCAAGCCACACCAAAAAAAATATACGAATAATCAAGGAGTACTCAGACAGAGAGACAATGCATAAACTCTCAGCCTCACACTTCACTTCTAACAGGGGTGGGTGATGGGAGGCGGGGGAAATTCGGTAGGCCAGGATTTGAATGGCACAGCAAGGCTTCTCAAAGTCTCGCCTTGCGATCCGCCTCCTCCTGCAGCTTCTTTACTCTATCCCACGTCACCAAGGCAAAGGGCTTCATTTGCTTTGCATATTCACTTGCCCGGGCGCTACTTGCCTGTCTAAGCGCATGCCTGGCTGCGATGCCTTGCATGATCACCGAGCCCCTGAACCCATGGAAAGCATCACCCCACGCCATCTCCGCTCGGGGATCCCACCCCGCAACCTCGCTGTACCATCCCGTCACAACATCGCGTGTCGGGAGGCCGGGGACAGAGTCAGGAGAGAAAGGCATATTATCCGGTGAGCCGCCGATATGGACGTATGGGCTCGTGAGGTTCGCGAGGTCGGAGAGGGGATGGCCGATAGTGGCCATCTCCCAGTCCAGGACGCCGATGACGCGGTTCTCAGTCTTGTGGAAGACCATGTTGTCGATCTTGTAGTCGCCGTGGACAAAAGTGGCGCGGTCGCTGGGCTGGGTGGCTTTGTTGGAAAAAAAGCGGACCATGTCGCTGAAGTGCGGAATGTTGCCCACAGGAATCCCATTGTCGACGTCGACGGCCTTGGCTTGGGTTTGAGAGATAACCGAGAAAGTGCTTATTTGACGGTCGTAGAACCCAGTGGTTCGTCCGAAGCCTTCCATCCCGAGTAACTTCGGGTCCACGCGGTGGAATTTAGCAAGAGTGCGCGCTGCATCTTTCCATCTATATGTGGGTGGCTTTCATGTTAGCATAGAATTAATGGTATATGTGTAGTATATATTGAGTGGCGGTCGTACAGTTCGGTTCGATCCTGGGGGGTGACTCCAGGCATTGCGGGGTCGGTAAACAACCGGCCATCGAGAAATTCCATAATGTAGAAAGCTGTGCCGATAACATTGTTATCCTCGCAGAGACAAACTGTCCGGGGAACGGGCACATCTGTCTGCTCAAGTGCGTGAATGATCTGGTACTCTCGCTCTACCCTGTGTGCTGTTTTCGAAAGCAGTTTTCCTGGTGGTTTCTTCCGCAGAACATGTTTTTGACCATCGGCCGCTGTCAGCAGGTATGTTGGGTTCGATTGACCAAATCCAAACTAGAAGATACCAAAAGGAGTATGAGTAACTGTCTGTAAAAAAATCGCAAGAGCGTACAGAGGGGTTATCGTACCTGTTTCAAGTCTAATGGCGTTTTTATAGCCGGGACATGCTGCTTGAGATACCGCTCCAGGGAGGGCAGATCGATAGGTTGCCGCACAGCACCGGCCATCGTTGGTCGAGCAGTGAGTAACGCCGCCGTTGGAGACCCCTTCACTCATCAATCAACTCATACAGGTTCATCCAGTTCCAGAGAAGTGTCAGCCTATATAAGAATGGAGACAACACGACGGCGCTCCATCCCGAAGACAGTTGGCCGGCAATAATAAAAGGCCGGGCTCCAGAGCTTCATGGTCGTCGTATCTGGACAGTGAGCCGAGGCTCAAGGATCCGGAAAACCATGCTGAGTTGCCTTGTTGGGTTTGGTTCATTTCCAGACTTGGCACGGTCCTCTTTTGAATCTCACAGGTATCACCATCGTTCCCCATCCCAGGGCCAGATCACAAAGCAAATCTGTGGGGATGATACTCAATAGAGTATTACATATGTTAGTCAAGAAGATTGTCTGGGCGCAGTTCGTCGCACGCCAGGCTCCTGGTAGGCGTTGCTCCCTGGCGGCCTGGCCCAACACCAGATATATGTCTTGTCGGTAGTATTTCCCGAATATGGGTGGGTAGCACAGTCTCATATTCAATTAATCGAAAATCAGAGTAATTAGTACATCAGAACACATGACAGATAAACCACTCAGGTGGAAAAAGAGTGAGGGTGTTGGCAGTTTCGACACTGACATAGCTGGCTCCCGCTGGATAGTTACAATCAACCAACCTTCCACCGTCATCATTTTCAAGAACTGTCATCAATAAGATTAAATATAGGTTATCCATACAATATACCAATACTCACAGAATTGTCTGAGAAGAGAATAGATTTTAAGAAGTATATATTTATAATGTCATACTTCAAAAGCTGGCAGGCTCATGCATTCCCCAGAGGATTTAACCATATAGAGGATGGACTTCCATAACAGGTGCAGCTGTTGTTGTGTGTCGATTAGAGAGGTATACGACTAGCCAACACCTGTATTACATTGCTGATGTTGTGAGAAGCAACTCTCTAGTAGGTCCTCGATCATGATAGATATACAAGCTTGCTTGATCCCATCATTGATTGCCATATTGCGTATATTGTGAAGTGCACGCTTAGAGCCTACGAGGCGTAAAACTTAGTTACCTCCAAAACAAGCTAGAGACTAGCCCCGCGCTACCTAACGCGCGTGGATTTCGTGACCCGACGCGGGTTAATTGGCGGGTAATGACGAGCAGAATTACAGATTTGTAACATCGACATTATTCGATAAACACCTCTACTCCTTTGCTCTCTCCCCCACTCTCCTTTCCATTCCAAAATCAAACATCAATTGGTGCAAGCCAACTTAACCCCAAAGCCTCAGCTGTCTGGATAGCCATATCATGACCAAAGAGGCGACCCCGCCTCCCCCAGCAACCGCCCACCAGCCGCCTTCTCTGCCCAATTCCCCTCTAGCCAAACGACCAAAGACGACAACCATGGCCCCCGTGACTGAGCCAGTTGCTGCACCTGCTCAATCAGAATCCATTCCCACTCCTAGCACCACCCCCGCAGTCACCTCCCTTTCCCAATCCACCGCGCCCCCTCTCCTGATCAAGAAGCTAGTTCCCACAGCTCGTGCTCCCACTCGAGGTTCAGCCTTTGCGGCGGGATATGATCTTTACTGTGCGAAAGCCATTGTGATCCCGGCTAAGGGCAAGGCCCTCGTTGATACCGGGCTGGCAATTGCAGTCCCGGACGGAACTTGTATGTTTTCCCCCCTTCCCCCCACTTTCCCCCCCTTCTCTCTCTCTAGTCCTGCATTGCATGTATATAGTGGAAAATACCAAAAGCGATAATGGGATTTTTTCCTTCCCTTGCTAACGTTTCTACTGCTTGAATATAGACGGTCGGATAGCACCTCGCAGCGGCCTCGCATCGAAACATTTCATCGATACGGGCGCTGGCGTCATTGATGCGGATTACAGGGGAGAAGTTAAAGTTCTACTGTTCAATTTTTCGGACGTGGATTTCACAGGTGTGTTTCTTCACCTTTTTTTTTTTTTTTTTTTTTTTTTTTTTTTTTTTTTTCATAGCTGTTATTTTGCGTGATATGATCTGATTTGAGCAAAAACAAAAATCAGTCAACGAGGGCGATCGGATTGCGCAATTGGTCCTTGAACGGGTGAGTTATTCTCAAGTCTTCCCAAAAGTAGGGTGGAGTCGTGGCTGATGCTAATCCTTCAAATTTTCAGATTTATACTCCTGAAGTAGTCGAGGTCGAGCAGCTGGAAGAAAGTGTCCGTGGTGCTGGTGGCTTTGGAAGCACGGGATAGCTATAGGTAACATACATTGTGTGCATTGGTTTCTTTTTGGGGTGAAGATCCAAAAGCGTTTTCCATCTAAAGATGCTATTTATGTGACAAATGACTGATGTGGTTCTATTTCCCCCTCGTTGGTGCGCATGTAGACCTGGAAATATAGAAGAATAAATGGGAAAATCAGAAGCGGATGTTACGTACCTAGATGTGATTGCATCCGGGCTAAGCTCCTCTTTTAATATGATATGTTAGTTTCTACATTTTGAGACCTGCTCGTTTTTTTTTTTTTTTTTTTTTTTTTTTTTTTTTTTTTTTTTTTTTTTGGGAAAAAAGAAGGAAAGAAAGAATGTTGGAATCTTAATGATCATGAACTCGGGTCTAATATTTCCATCTAGGAGGCAGAAAAGTGGCTGAGTTGTTCTTTGATGAGAAAAAGCTGCCTGTGCTAGTTGCAAGTAAAATACTTGTGGAAAACTCCTCAAGAGGAGTATTATTTTCTTTCCTTCATATCGGTCTAAATAAAACGGATATATTACACACTAGGGGCTGTAATGTAGCTGACATCCCAAAGGGTGCATATAGTGAAGGTCGCCGCAACAGGAATTCAGTTTCGTACGAGAACAATTGTTTGAGATACTTGGATTTAGAGGACTTTATGAACCACGTGTATCCATGCAACTTATCACTGTAATACATACCATCACCGACTCCAGTGCCTGTCTACCCCACCAAAACGAAAGAAGCAAAACCGAAGAAACCGAAACAAAACGAAATAAAACAGAACCTCTTAAGAATATTTATGCATACACATCCGTATCCAGTCACTCCTCCGCCAACCATAACCCCTACCGGCCTACTATGGTCACACTTTGAACTCCTCCGCCACAAATTCCACCCCCTGGGGGTTTTTCAGCAATTCTACGTTCCTCACAAGACGTATCTCCGCCGCCTTCGTCTTCCTTAGATGCGCCCTCTTCTCTCGGGCTTCACGCCGCGCCGCCTCCGACAGCCCCGCAAACTCAATCGCATCCTGCAAACAAGACACCTCGTCATCATCTGGCGGATACTGCGCCAACTCGTCCATTCTCGCGTCCATGGTATTTTCCAGGATGCAGTGCATGCTGGCGAGGGCTTTGACAGTGGATTGGGCGAGGGGTAGCTCGTTGGCAGGAACGAAATCGGGAGATTGCCAGGACGGGGCATTGCGGAGGAGCGAGTAAAAGGAGCATGTGGTAGAAGATCTAGGTCGGAGCCCGGCTGATGGTACTTCGAGAAAACTCTTTTGGGTTGTGATAGTGGTGGTGGTGGCGGGGCCAAAGGGGTATGCGCTTCGGCAAGCTATCGCATCAGCCTCCGCGTCCGCGTCAGCCTCAAATACGGCTTCACGTAATCGTGCAACAGTAAGTGCAGCAAACATGTCACCCGTGCCGCTGAAGAAGCAGTCCAGACGGGGGACTTCGACTTTGAAGAGGCGCGGGCTTCCGTCGGAGCGTGCGGTAGAGCCGATTATGGTCAGTGTGTCAGTGCTGTCTGTTGCTGTGGAGCTGGATACTGCTGAGGTGGTTGAGGACGTGATTGACGGGAGCTGCACGGAGGTTATGATAATGTGTGGGATGTTGTAGGTACGATGGAGGGAGGTGATGGCGTCCACGAGGTTAGAGGGAGATGTTATTTTTATACCAGACAGGAGTCTGGGGTAGGTTAGAATTGACTGGGAAATAAAGGCAGAATCGAAATTAAAAGGGACAACAAATGGATGTTTCGAAAATTGGATTTTCCCCAACTCACTCTGCCTCAAATTGGTTTGGTAATATTAAATCGGCATGAGGTATTATTTTCTTATACGCGGGAACCACATCCTCATTCACGTAGAGCTGTCCTTGGTCGCCCATTACCGGATCAAGAACTGGTAGAAGTCGTTCGCTTCAGCATTTCCTCTTCAAAAAAGCAGCAGATGCAACAGAAGAAGGCACGAAATGAATAACTCGATGAAACGCACCCCAAAAGAACGACCCGGGCTTTGTGCGGGACCTGCGCCGTAAATCAAGGCCGATTTCGCCAACTGCCTCCACAGCTGCGGCGCTGGGCGCATATCCGGACAGTAGGACATCGAAATCGGTCAGGAAGCTCTGTTTCAGTCCTGCGTACTGAGCAGCGATCTCCTGTGCCGTGGATTTCGTGCCTTTGAACTGTCCGTAACCGGTGTGATTGCCTGTACGTAAAGACCGTCAGTACGAGGTGATGGAGCGATATCCATGTGGGCACAGCAGGTTCCCCGAAGTAGGGGGCCATGTATAGAGGACTCACTAAATTGGACCGTATTTATCGCCGTGACATCGCATCCCAACGACTGCATGACGAATGTCGCCATCGTATTGCCGACAAATCTGCATGGGCAGAAATTAGAATTAGATCAAAATACATAATTCTTTGTCAAAGCATAGCAAAGCTCCACACGCAAGGACTTTTTTTTTTGCTCGAACAACCCTTTTGGCTACAGTTGACTGGTAATGATTTCATCGCCATCAATGAATAAAAACTAGCAAGATCTTCGGATTCCTGGGGCATAGAACAGGGACAATTACGAATGGAGTAAATATTGAAAAGCTCATTGCTCATTGCTCATTGCAGTTTTCACAGAGGGAAGTGCAGAGATGGAGCACAATGAAGGTCAAAAGTAAACATACCCATGCGCCACCTTCATGCACGTACAGTCAGCCATTATCATCAAGGCAGAAAACTTGAATCATTTGAGAGGGATGGCATACATGGCTTGCTATGGCCAACACCCGCGTTTCGGGGACCAGAAAATCGTCTGACATCCGGGAAATACCGTTTTATGAGGGTCTAGCAAAGCGGTCTGAAGAAAGAGAAAATGTGATGGAAGAGGCAAGGGTGGATTGGTTTAAGGGAATAAAACAGATATTCCTTTTGGATTTTGGGAGTTGGCACGTTTTGGGTGTAACCATGGATAACAAGTGGTCAATACCTTTAACTACAGCTATGGAACTTTACAGACCGTGTCACGTTTTGTTGCAGTTGAGCATCGTATATCTCAGTAAATGCACACCCAATATACTCTGTCTCCTGGTGACTTCCTCGCAAAATTTTGACACCTAACTGCACAGCCAACCCTTAGGCATCAAGCCCCTAAACCAGCCCCCAATCTTTGGGGTTGACTGGCCCTCACAGACAAGGATATGCCGATCCAGTGGCACCCGCCCCATGTGCTTAGTCAGCTCTGATTCTATTTTTCCCAAGACTTAACCCCGCTAACCAAACAGATACACTTTACCTCCCTTTTGAGGTTTCCTAGACCCCTCTCATGGAATATATTCCACATTCCGTAGGGGTTTCCACGAAGCTATAATGGACCACATAACCCCTATCACTGTCCTTATATCAGGCAACGGTTCGAATTTCCAAGCTGTCATTGATGCAATTCACGCCGGAGAGCTCCCTGCAAAAATTGTCCGTGTAATATCTAACCGAAGGGATGCCTACGGACTCGAAAGAGCCAAAAATGCCAGTATCCCCTCCCACTATCACAATCTCATAAAGTACAAAAGGCAGCATCCGGCAACGGAGACGGGGGTTCAGCAAGCTCGTGAGGAATATGATAAAGAATTGGCAAGATTGATTTTGGAAGATTCTCCTGAGCTTGTGGTGTGCCTAGGGTTTATGCATGTTCTCTCCTCCTCATTCTTGGACCCAATCAAGGATGCAAAGGTCAAGGTCATCAATTTGCATCCTGCCTTGCCTGGCGAGTTTACTGGTGCGGTACGTGTGAAACCCATCTCTACATGAATAAAGTGTACTGCCTATGTGCTTCAGCCATTTGAAAATTTATATGCTAATAATGAAACATGATTTATAGAATGCCATAGAACGTGCGCATGCCGCCTGGCTGGAAGGAAAGATTGATCATACTGGAGTTATGATCCACAATGTCATAGCCGAGGTGGACCTAGGACTCCCCATTCTTGTCAAGGAGATCCCGTTTATCAAGGGAGTTGATGAGGATATAAGTGTTCTCAAGCAGAGGATCCATGAAGTGGAGTGGAAAGCCGTTGTCGAAGGAGTGGGAATCGCTATTCGACAATTACAACTACATCTGGACCAGGATTGTGTCCTCCCAGAAAACGGAGTTAGCAACGGTTCGCAGGGATGAATTCGAAATAAAATACTCGATAGAAAGCTGAATTTATAACTCTCCCGCTCTGTCCCTGGCCCGCGCCTGGTGCAGGCTATGAAAAGGGGATTTAGGTTGAGGGGAATTTCGACGACGTGCACGCAAGGCGAAATTATGTACTGTACAACATTATTGAATACCCCGGTGATGATCTATATTCTGAACGGTTTTCCGATTACGCCGTCTTTGCGATTGACAGAACGCTCACGGAATTGACCGAAGACGGATTGTTTGTTTGACTTTGGCCCCGAGAGGATGCCTCGTCGTGCTGGGAACCAGGTTAGCATTGGGACAACGTTTGGAATATATACCCTGATAGAAATTGCACCTCTTTATGTCTAAGCGGACTGTATCATTTATCAACGGAGTAACAGAAGAGATGGAGAGAAATGCCAAAAATCTGTGTGTGAGCAGCGGGGCCAAGCTGATAATAGGCTATGTTCCCAGCGTCGCGGTTTATATCTGGTCAGTGGGTGAATATCAATACCCTAATAGAATGCGATCTCATTCTTGGGACAACTCTAGGGCTATGTCTTCTCTCTTGTGTAGCGCAGGAAGGTAGTGAAGGGTCCATTCTTGGTCAGGCCAACTAACGAAGTGATTGCACCTGGAGGGTAACCTAGACTCCGTAGGGTACCCCGCTCTTCATAATTGCGAATCCAGAGTGGACCTGTGGCAGGTTGGCTGGCAGTATGGTCGTGAACTTCTCTACACACTGTACGATACACAACCATGGATCTGTAAGTAGTATCCAAAGGCCTGCCTGGGTCGTCGTTTTGGTGGGAAGAGGAGGCAGCAATACTCATGAAGGTTTTCGGAGATTGTCCCACAGCCAGTCTCCGACGGCCTTCTCCATATCAAACACACCCAGCCAGTAAACCTCCCTTATCCTGACCTGCCTCGTTGGGTATCTGACATTTAACTCTTGGTTTCCCTGAACAGCCTTTCCTTGCCCATGTCTGTGCTTGGATGAAGGACGTGATGATATGCTGAGGTTTGCAGGGCAGATTATTATCCAACGCCTGTTGGGTCTTTTTGGGCATGATTACTGAGGTTGGTTAGAAGCGATGGGTCCCTGGGAATTAGCCATCAGCAGCATGGATACCTGGGAAATCGAGCGTGGCGAGGTTGGCAAGACGGAGTTTCGCTGAGCACTGTGAGCAATTGGCCTTGAGAGGGTTGAATTCATAACGAATCATGTCGATGTTGAACCCTGGAATGGTTGCACTGTCGAAAAGCCAGCGACGGTCTAATCCTTGCAACCATCCTGTGATCAAGACCGAAGCCTATCGAATCCTCGACCGGTTCTCGAGCCTCAAGAGAATAATCGTGTGCGGATACAGCAGGAAAACCTTGTACAAAATCCTTCTGATAAGTTAGTTATTCCAAACCCTGCTTGGATCATTTCTTCGCTTACCCTGGACCAAGAGGATTCCTATTGGACCCATGGCTTCATACGGACGCTATTGGCCTTAAGTGCGCCAAAGATCATTTCGCGTAACAAGCCACAATCACGCCTTGCGCGCAACCAGTTGGTCAAGGTCAAGGTGCATTGATGCCAAAAAGGGGAGGTATCAATGCCCACCGGATATTATGGAATGAAGTTCATGCGATGCCACATGGTGTATGTGTATGCACCCATAGTTATTGGATAAATATTAATAATAACAGTAATAGGAATGGTAACTTTGGCAAAATAACCACAAGGATGATTGAGACTTGTTGGGATTTGGCATTTCATACTCGAAAAGCCCAAAAATATCCGAGTCAATCTATTTGGAGAGTTGGATCGGATTCGTTGGCGGAGAAAAATACTTCGGCAAGGGCCTTCTCTCCCAATGACTTCGAGGCCTATTTGATTGTGACCCAGCGACTAACAGCGCTAGAAGCACCTAAGGATTGTGTTAATTATAGATCTCGGAGCACAGGCTATTGATGTTGGCCAATGTTTCCAAAGCTGTCAGAGAGACATCGTGCATACGCTGTCATACAAAGTGG